GATAGCTTATTTTATTTCCTTATTTTTATTAGTTTATCTTAGATTTTTAGCTCTTTTATTAGTATTGCATTGTATATTCTTTTTTCTTTATCATGGATGATAGCGTATCGGGGGCTTGTTATGTTGCATGAGGAATTTTGCAGGGTTTTGGAGCTTTTTGTGATTGTGGATTTGAGTGAAGACGGCTTAGTGGGCTCCCGAAGCATTATTGGGCTTGGCGGAATCAAAGAAGAAGAATTGGGCTTTGAAAGTTATTGGCTTGGATTATTTGGGCTTGTGAAGATGGATCATAAATTTCTAATTTTGGGCTTGGAGCATCCATTTAGTGGCTAAATGATGATTGGTTGATTCAAATTACATGGACAAGGGGGGGACCAAAGGAATCTTTGGTAGTGGAAGGGTGGAGTAGTGGAATGGTGGACCAATAGCATTCCAGCAGCATTTGCGCGGGTGGAATTTTTGGCTGCGCGGGTACCCGCGCAACTGCCCAGTTTGGGTATTTTGGTCATTTGGCTCACAATAACTTTGGGGGGGATCAGATCTAGAGGCTCATTGACGAATTTTCCACCATTGGAGACCTGCAAGTGACGATTTGGAGAGCAAAATACTCAATTTCTTTCATCTTTTCAAGTCTTAGGTAGATTCTTGATGCAAATTAATTATTGTTCTTGTTACTTTGTTGCCATGAGTGGCTAATACTCTTATTTGGTTGACTTTGGCTGAAAACCAATGAATGTTTGTGGGTTTTGAAGGATTTATGTTGATTATCAATTTATTCCATGTTTATGATTCTAGTTTACAATTCTTATGCTTATTTGATGCTTTGATCATGAGCTTAGTATTTGATTGAGCAATGGTTGATTTGTTTCATTGATTTTGCATTGGATCATTGAATTTATCTAGAACAAAGGCTTTATGATGGTAGAAATCATCTCTAGCTTATGAATCATAGCTCCTTTATGGATGTGTAAGCATTTGACATCCTCTAGGAATTGGGGATTCCTTCATTCTTAAGGCTAATTGATTCTTGGGATTAATTGCTTCAATTGACCCTTGATCTTAATTAAGAAGGTGTGTTGTGGGCTTCCCCAACCTCCATACTACCTATGAGGAATCTTGGCATATCATGCTTCATGATTGCTATAACCAATTTGGGATGAAGGATAAGCTTTGTATTAGATCCTAATGATAAACACACAAATGTTCATTGTGTTGAATTGCCTTAGTTAACCAATTATTCCCAACCTTTGAGCATCTCATCAACTTGCTTAATTGCAAGGTTTTTAGTTATTCAAGTATTTTAGTTTTCAAGTAATCAAACACCCCCCCCCCCCTTTTAGTTTAATTGTAGTTAGTTAGTTTAATTTCACTAGTTCTATTGAATTGCATTGGTGATTGAATACAACCATTTCCCCGAGGATCGATACCCCTTTTTACCATTATATTACGTTTATTTAGAATCAAAGGGTGTAATTTGCTTGGTGGACTTGACATTCCCATCAAGTTTTGGCGCCGTTGCCGGGGAAACTGGTTATTGTTATTTGATTGTTTATGCCTAGGTCTACAAGAACCGGTGAACTACTCTACAATCCGGAAATTGAAAAAGAAGCAAAAAGGTTGAAAAAGTTAGCCAAACAAGCAAAGCAACAACAACTAGTTCAAGCTTCTTCCTCTTCTCCACTAATCAACATAGAAGATCAAGTTCACACTTCAAGTGATACCGACACCGAGCCGAGTTCTCCAATTGTTGGTCAATCCTTTGAAGACATTCCGTTTGAAAACCACATAGCCATGAATCACACTCCACCTCACAATCCTAACCCAAACCCAAACAATCAAGATGCTAATACCCTACCCCATCAACCAAGACAACAACAACAAGAACCTCTCATTGATATGCCACCTTGGAATCAAGCCCCTCCTCAAAACCAACCCAATTATCCGCAACCACAAAACCAACAATTCCACCATAACAACCAACCTCAAAACAATGCTTTTCAAGTTCAACAAGTACATTACCCAAATCAACCCAATTACCAACACCCTCCAATATAACAAAACCCAATGTACCCCCAACAACAACCTCCCTACAACCAATACCCTAACTACCAACCTTATCCACCACCAATCTACAATCATCAACCATACCCATATCCACCTTACCAACAACCACCCAATTACTTGCAACAATATCCCAATAACCCCAATCCACCCAATCCCCCTCAAGAGTTGACACTTCGGCAAATGATGGAGACGGATGTTACTCATACACCTCTTGCTATTGTTTATCCCGCAAACCGCCGAGGGATTGAATTGAAGTCAAGTTTCATCCATCAACTAACCAAGTTCCATGGTTTGGATAGAGAAGATCCTCAAAAGCATTTGAAGTCCTTTCATATGATATGTGTTAGCATGTTGCCCGACAATGTGACATTGGATGATTTCAAGTTAACCACATTCCCGCTCACCTTGGAAGAAAAAGCTAGAGAGTGGTTATTCAACTTACCACCGGGATCAATTCACACATGGGAAGAGTTACTCAAGGCCTTCAATAGCAAATTCTATCCCACCTCCCGCATTTCAAGTCAAAGAAGTGACATTTTGGGAAACATTTCATGATTTTTGGGAGCGCTTCAACAATTTGTGTACAAGTTGTCCTCAACACAATATACCCGAACAACTACTTCTTCAACAATTTTATGAGGGTATGAATGAAAAAGATCGGAGGATGATTGATGCTTCAAGTGGTGGTGACATCTTCAACAAAACCCCTCACGAGATCCGATTACTTTTTGGTACCATTTCTCAAAATCAAAGGAATTTTGGGACTAGACATGACATGAAGAGAAATTCTACAAGTGGTTAGTGAAGTTAGCAACACTCAACACTTGGAATCAAAGCTCTTGGATTTGACTAATGTGTTAAGTCAAATGGTGGTGGGAAGTGGTCAACAATTGATGGTATGTGGTATTTGTGCAATGACGGGCCATTATACGGATAAGTGTCCCACACTTGGAAGTGAACCGGAAGATGTGAATGCAATGGGCGGATATCAAAGTCAACCAAGACCCATGGGATTTCAAAACAATTTCAACCCAAATTTGAGGAATAACCAAAACAACCCTTATCCACCAAAGCAAAATCCACCAAATCTTTTGATGAGACCCCAACATCCACAATACCAACCCAAAAACCTCCATATCCACAAAATTCTTATAACCCTCCAAATTACCAACAACCTCCACAACAAGGCCAATCAAGTGGTACCCATCAAATGAGCCTTCAAGAACTTGTCACTTCTCTTGCTCAAAGCCAAACCCAATTTCAACAAGAAACCAAGAATACTTTCTCCAACATTCAAGCACAAATTGGAGACTTGGCAACCGCTCTCAACAAGATGGAACAAAGGGGTAAACTTCCATCACAAACCGAGAAGAACCCCAATGTGAGTGCCATCACCTTGCGAAGTGGGAAAACACTTGGAGAAAGTCAACCTAAAAGAGTTTCAAGAGAAGACGAAGATGAAGTGATCATTGTGGAACCTCCAAAAGTTGTAGTTCCTCCAAAGGAACCGGTTGTGCCAAATGTTGATCAACCCGATCCTTCCAACAAACCCATCAAACCATTGGTCATACCACCGCCTTTTCCATCCCGGTTGGCTTCCTCAAAGAAACAAGAAGAAGAGAAAGAGTTTCTTGAGACTTTCCGCAAGGTTCAACTCAACATTTCACTATTGGATGCCATTAAGCAAATCCCACGTTACGCCAAATTTCTTAAGGATTTGTGCACCAACAAGAGAAAATTCAAGACAAATGAGAAGATTCAAGTCAATGCAAATGTATCCGCGGTCATCCAAAAGAAGCTTCCACCCAAATGCAAAGACCCGGGAATGTTTGCTATACCTTGTACCATTGGTGATTTACATGTTGAAAGTGCCATGCTACTTGGAGCCTCAATCAATGTCATGCCATACTCGGTTTTTCAATCTCTCAATGTTGGACCTTTGGAAGAAACCGGAGTCATCATTCAATTAGCGGACAAGTCAAGTGTATTTCCAAGAGGCGTGTTGGAGGATGTACTAGTTCAAGTCAATCAACTAGTATTTCCCGCAGATTTCTATGTCATTGACCTTGAAGAAAAGACTCCTTCCAAGTCATCTATGAATCTCCTTGGAAGACCCTTCATGAATACCGCTCACACGATTATTGATGTCCACAATGGGAAGATCACCATGGAGTTTGATGGAGAGACCATTCACTTCAACATCTTTGAAGCAATGAGATATCCTAGCAACATATCTCCATTGTATCGAGTTGATGTGATTGAGCCAATCACCCAACAATTATTCGAGTTATCAAATGGGGATCTTTTGAAGATGGTGCTTAACATGAGTCTTGAAGGTGAAAGTTTGAAGAATACCTTGGATTTGTATACATTGGATTCCGAAGTTGAAGATATTGTGAAGGCTCTAGAAATTACTAATTCCACAAAGAAGGATGTTTCTCAAGTTGCCTTATCTCATTCTCCAATCAAGATGCCACCTTCCATAATCCAACCACCCACACTTGAATTGAAAGTCTTACCTAGCCATTTGAAATATGCTTATCTAGGTCAAGATGAGACTCTACCGGTGATTATCTCTTCTCAATTGAAAGACTTTGAAGAAAACCAATTGATTGAAGTCTTGAAAGAGCATAAAGAGGCCATGGGGTGGACCATAGCGGACATCAAGGGGATAAGTCCTAATGTATGCACTCACAAGATACTCATGGAAGATGATTGCAAGCCTAGGAGGGAAGCCCAAAGACGATTAAACCCTCCCATGATGGAAGTTGTCAAGAAGGAGATAATCAAGTTACTTGATGCGGATATGATTTACCCAATTTCCGACTCCAAATGGGTTAGTCCGGTGCAAGTGGTTCCCAAGAAAACGGGAATCACGGTTGTTGAGAATAACAAAGGCGTAATGGTACCCACTCGAGTTCAAAATGGATGGAGGGTGTGCATTGATTATAGAAAGTTGAATTCAAGCACACGGAAAGATCACTTCCCTCTTCCTTTCATTGATCAAATGCTCGAGCGATTGGCGGGCAAATCACATTATTGTTGCCTTGATGGATACTCGGGTTTTCACCAAATACCCGTTGCCCCCGAAGATCAAGACAAAACGACTTTTACATGCCCCTTTGGCACATTTGCCTACAAGCGGATGCCATTTGGATTATGCAATGCCCCCGCCACATTCCAAAGATGCATGGTGAGTATCTTCTCCGAGTATGTTGAAAATATAATCGAAGTGTTCATGGATGATTTCACCGTGTATGGCAATTCGTTTGATGAATGCTTGGGTAACCTTAAGAAGATTTTGAAAAGGTGCATTGAGAAAAAGTTGGTGTTAAACTTTGAGAAATGTCACTTCATGGTCAATCAAGGAATCATTTTGGGACACATCGTCTCCAAAAAGGGCATCGAAGTTGATAAAGCCAAAATTGATGTCATCCAAACCCTTCCTTACCCAACATGTGTTAGAGAAGTGAGATCTTTCTTGGGCCATGCGGGATTCTATAGAAGATTCATCAAAGATTTCTCAAAGATCACGCGACCAATGTGCCTCCTTCTTCAAAAAGATGTCGATTTTGACTTCAATATTGCATGCCAAGAAGCCTTTGACAAACTTAAAGACTTGCTCACTTCCGCCCCAATAATCCAACCTCCAAATTGGGAGCTTCCATTTGAAATAATGTGTGATGCAAGCAATTTTGCTATTGGCGCGGTCTTAGGTCAAAAAGAGGGCAAAGCATCCCATGTCATCTACTATGCCTCCAAAACCTTGGATAATGCTCAAGCCAATTACTCCACCACCGAGAAGGAACTTCTAGCCATTGTATTCGCCTTGGAGAAATTCCGGCAATACCTTCTTGGGACAAAAGTAATTGTGTATTCCGACCATGCCGCATTGAAGTATCTCATGACCAAGAAAGATGCCAAGCCACGGTTGATTCGTTGGATTCTTCTTTTACAAGAATTCGATCTTGAGATAAAGGATAAAAGTGGTGCCGAAAACCTAGTTGCGGATCACTTAAGTCGGTTGAATATTGGTGATTCTTCTTCTCCTATCCTTGATGAATTCCCGGATGAACACCTCTTCTATATGTCAAATTCCATTCCATGGTACGCGGATATTGTGAATTACTTGGCTACTAAAGAAATTCCTCATGCATTTACCAAGTACCAAAAGGCCAAGTTGAAGAGTGATTCCAAATACTACGTGTGGGATGACCCTTATCTTTGGAAACATTGTCCGGATCAACTCATACGGAGGTGTGTTCATCAAAATGAGGTTGAGTCAATTTTGAAGTTTTGCCATGAGTATGCATGCGGAGGACATTTTGGTCAAAACAAAACCATGCGAAAGGTGCTCGAATGCGGACTCTATTGGCCAACAATGTCAAGAGATACCTATCTATTTTGCAAGAGTTGTGATAGATGTCAAAGAACGGGAACCGTATCCATGAGGCATGAGATGATTCAAAGCCCTATCCTTATTTGTGAAATCTTTGATGTGTGGGGAATCGACTTCATGGGCCCCTTCCCCGTTTCTTTTGGTTATACTTATATACTCTTGGCGGTTGATTACGTCTCAAAGTGGGTGGAAGCAAAGGCAACAAGGCATGATGATTTAAAACGGTAATTGACTTCTTGAAGTCCAACATTTTCGCAAGATATGGTGTACCAAGAGCTTTGGTGAGTGATAGGGGCACTCATTTTTGCAATAAAATGATGGAAGCAATGACAAAGAGATATGGTGTCACACACTAGATATCAACCGCTTACCATCCACAAACAAATGGCCAAGCCGAAGTGTCAAATAGAGAAGTCAAACAAATTCTTGAAAAGACCGTCAACACTACCCGAAAAGATTGGAGCTTGAAGTTAGAAGATGCTTTATGGGCGTATCGGACCGCCTACAAAAATCCAATTGGTATGTCTCCATTCCGCCTTGTCTATGGAAAGTCTTGTCATTTACCGGTGGAATTGGAACACAAGGCATACTGGGCGGTTAAAAAGTGCAATTTCAATCTTGAAGAAAGTGGAAAGCACCGAAAAATGCAACTTCAAGAAATCGAGGAATTGAGAAACGAGTCTTATGAAAATGCAAGCATCTACAAAGATAAAACAAAAGCGTTTCATGACAAACATATCACTCGTAAGCATTTTATCCCAGGCCAAAAAGTTCTTCTTTATCATTCACGCTTAAAGCTATTTCCGGGAAAATTGCGATCTCGATGGCACGGACCTTTTATTGTTATAAAAGTGTTTGATCACGGTGCGGTTGAAATTAAGAGTTTGGAAACAAATCAAATATTCAAAGTGAATGGACACCGCTTGAAACCATTTTATGAAGGCTTTGATACGGGAGAATTCGACAACGTAACATTGGAAATCCCAAATTACGAAGGTTGATGGAAGCGGGACTATGTCTTGGCAAAGACGTTAAATAAATGCAATGTGAATAAATAATGTCCGTTTGAAGTTTTGGGTGTTTCTAAGTTTGAAGTTGGTCTAAAAATAAGCATATAGAAGTCTTCCAGTGATTTTGGTGAAGTTTGAAAAATTCCAAAATTTTGACTTTTGCGCGGGTACCCGCGCAACCTTTGCGCGGCCGGCCCCAGCCGCGCAAGTTCCGAGTTCCAAATTGCGCCAACATGGGATGCATTCTGCGAGTTGCGCGCGGCCAAAATCCTCCCGCGTAGATATTTGCGCGGCTTTGAAGAAATTTCACTTTCAAGCTGCGCGACCTCCCCCCCTTATAGCTCCACCCGGAAAACACGACCCACACCCGCTCCAGCCCGCATCCGACCCGCTTCCGACCCGAAAGCCCGACCCACCCCTTCTTTCCCCCCTATTTGCCTCCCGTCAATGAACACTCGCCGCTGCTCCCTTCGCCGACGATCCCGACTGTCGCCACCTTCAGCCACCACCGACGATTCCATCGTCCGCCGCCAACGCCATTGGTCAGCGCCTCCGTCGTCAGCAAGTGCCGCCAGTCAGCGCTTCCCTCCAGCACCGTCGACAGCCCGTTCTCGACCAAACCTCTCGTCGCCGGAAAAACGCGCCTCGCCGCTGTCACCTGCTGCTTCTCCCTTCGCCGGCACTCTACCCCCGCTCTACTCCCCACCTAATTCCGACCAAACCCCACCCATCTATTCGCCGGTAAACCGCTCGACGCCCCCATTCCCACCCTCGCCGGAAAATCGTGAAACGGCCATTCCGCCTCCACATTCCATCAAAACTCGAAAATTCTTGGGGCATTCTTTACTAAACGCTCCACCATACACCGATCTACTATTAATTTGGGAAAATCTCATCGCCGGAAAACCGAGCTTCGCCGCCGGCCGCCGTCTGTCGCCGCCGCCGGCCGCCGTCACCAATTTTGACCAAAAATTTAAAAATTTTTGTTTCTCGCCGGAGTTTCAAACGATTCAACCTTGTGGGTCAAATTCAAGCTTGGGGTGCGGTTTTAGCGGATTTCTTTTCGGGTTTCGACACTCGAAATTGGTACATTTCTTTTAATTTCATTGCATTCAAATTATCATTCCATAGGCTTATGCTATGCATTAGGTTGATTAGAAATAGACTTAGTTTGCTTTGAATTAATTGAATTGCATTTGATTTTTCCCAAATTGCAAGTTTGGAATATTGCCCGATTTTAATTATTTGATTTGATTGGATTGGTGTGAGGCGAGTGTGAGGGATAATTTTGCCCAAGTTTTTGTCTTTGCTAGGTTTATTCACCGGTACAATGGCACGGGACAAGACCATTCACGCATCTCATGGTTCATCTCGTGAAGCTCAATCCTCGGGGCCATCCAAGAAAATGTCCACCGACCATGTTGATCGTGATGGGAACCTTACCCTCACGAGTGCCCAAAGCCGAGAGTTCAAATCCAACCTTCAAAAGCGTGCAATCCGCGCCACAAATTTTACCACCAAGATTCTATGGAGCACCTCGGCCTTGACAACCACTTGAGACAACTATTTTTCAACATTGGTTGGCACGAGTTTCTCGCTCTTTCTGCACGCACCTACAAACAACCCACACTCAACTTCCTCTCCACCTATGCCCGCAATGACACGGCGAGGGTACTCACTTTCAAACTCCAGGGTCGGCAGCACCGACTCAAGTACAAAACCCTCAACAAGATCATGGGCACATATGACATCAACAACTCCGACATTTACAGCTACCAATGGTCTCAATTTAAAAGCTTGCCCAAAGTAGACTTTTGGACCCAAATCACGAGCCTTTCCAAGTTCAATCCCAGTCGCCAAAAAAGACCCCTTTATCATCCATCCTTGCTGGAGAATTGCCCACCGGATCCTATCCACTTCTATCTTTGCTCGTCACGAGCCGGGACAAATCAACACCGTTGAGTTATATTTTCTCTACTGCATGTCGAGCCGACGTTGGTCTTTGCCCGATTTCGCCACCTTCTTTTTAGACAAATGTGACAGCCTCAGGACGAAGACCACTGGTGACATTTGTATTGGAGGTCTCATTACCCTCATTGGTTTGGGTATGGGCCTTCAATTTCCAGAATCTGAATATGTGCCAGTGGATGATCCACCTCTCTACCTTCTTGATTGCATAACTCTCACCCGGATGGAATTAATGCTACCTCATCCTACTCTTCCTGGACATTTCTCTTGGCTCAACCATGTCAAGGACCCAGTTTACATCTTGCCCAATCCAAGTATCTCCGCCTTCACCACCAATGTCCCCAAAACATGGTTCTTGCCTCAAGAGTTGCCAAATGATGATGCTGCAGCAACGGATGATGACATGCAGGTGGACCCTGACAATGCTGATAGCCCATTCGAGGCTGAAGACCATTATGATCTCCCGATCCGCCAGTTGCCACCACCTTATCCATGTCAAGCCTTCGGGTCACACTCTCAGCCCTCGGGAGAACACTTCCAGCCACAGCATGATTATCACTCATACCAGAAACACAATGAGCCCGACCCCGCACACGAGTTTCCTCTCGATATTTACAGTCAGCTTGCTTCCTTGCGCCTCCAGGGCAACAGGAACACCGCAGCCATCCACCGCATTGAGGAACAACAAGCACGCACCAACACTTACATGGAGGACCTTTGGTATCATTTTCAGCCCGAGGGCGGTTATCCCCCTCGAGGGCCTCCTCCACCTTGATCCCGGTATGATCCTTCCTTACTCTCATCCTAAGCATTGAGGACAATGCTTAATTTTAAGCTTGGGGTGAGGTATTCTTATATTTTATTTTTTATTACATTTAGGTTGTATATAGTTGCATTTAGAGTAAGGCATTTAGGTCATTCATAAAAAATTGCATAAAAAAATTCCAAAAATATTGCATATGTTATTTCTTTCTTTTCTAATTTTCATGCTTTTTAGATGCATTCTAGTTTAAGTTCATGCATTTTTGTTCTCTCTTGTCTTCTCATCCCTACAGGTACCAGAGCGCCGAGTCATGAGTATTGAATCATAGATTGGTCCCGGGTCTTGATATGGAATTCCTTGTGTTTGATAAGTGGGACACGTTTTGAGCCTCACAGACCATTTTAAGACCGCTTGTGTGGGGGTCAGATGGATGTAGCTTGATTGGGTCTAGGTGCGGAGGGATGTGGTTGGTCAAACCGATGTGCGCGAGCAAAGATTAGCCCGGTAAGGTACATTGAAGATAATGAAGACTCGCATCTTGGTTTTGGGGGGAATACCCCTTAGTACTCCCGAGTCTCGTCCGAGCCTTGCTTAGTTAGATTCTCACCACCTTTTTAAGATAGGTTTTTTTTTTAAAGAGTCTAGAGTAGATAGTTAGATAGATTTTGTTTATCACACCTTGCATTAAGGTGCTTGATGAACTTTGAAGTGGGTCCCCCAATTCACATCTTTTGGGACCAAGTCTTTTCGGTAACACCCATTTTTGAGTCATTCCCCACCCCTTTTTAGTTGATCTTGGCACATTGTCAATAATCATTAGGTGTTCATGTTAGCCTCCATCCTATGTTACATGGTGAAATTCCTTAGACCTTCAAAGAAGAAAACACAAAAAAAAATGAAAAATGAAGAAATTAGAAAAATGAAGAAAAAGAGAAATACAAAAAGAAGAATAAGAATCCAAGTTCAAGGCTTTAGATCTATTAAAAATAAAAAAAATTAAAAAAAAAAGGTGGCTGAATATCAAGCAACAAAGAGGCTGAAGACTAAATAACAAAAGTTCAAGATCGAAGACTTAGGTTGTTAAGTTTAGATTTAGGTTAAGTAGAATTTTTATTATTTATTATTTTATTTTATTTTTGATTTTTGGTGAGAAAAGACCCCGACGATGAGACGGTAAACTGTAAAGGACAGTACAAGAGAGAAGCCTCTGAAACCGGATGTTTGCCCGGAGGCCGTGCTGCAAAACCCTATTTCGTAATATACACTTTAGTCTGACAAATGTAGGAATCATAGTGTGTGAAGAGGCGCCTTTCCTTCGTGCACTATGGTCTGCATTTGTGATTTAAAGTGCCCCCACTGGGCGCATCTCTGTTTCCTTTGTCTTGCACACCGCGACTGCATCCAACCGTGATCTATTCGCCCATCAAGTGGTTGAGAATGTGGTTTATGGCTCTAAAGCGGGGAACATTTTGAAGATGCGTAGGGTCCATTGAAGGACTAATTCTGACCATGTTAACTGATGTTGACCAAGTTCTATGGTATCTTTCTTTTTCTCTTTTTAGTTTAGCTCATTCCGAGCTCATTTTAGTCTTGTTCTAACTTGAGGACAAGTTAGGTTTAAGCTTGGGGTGATTTGATAGCTTATTTTATTTCCTTATTTTTATTAGTTTATCTTAGATTTTTAGCTCTTTTTATTAGTATAGCATTGTATATTCTTTATTTTCTTTATCATGGATCGTATCGGGGGCTTGTTATGTTGCATGAGGAATTTTGCAGGGTTTTGGAGCTTTTTGTGATTGTGGATTTGAGTGAAGACGGCTTAGTGGGCTCCCGAAGCATTATTGGGCTTGGCGGAATCAAAGAAGAAGAATTGGGCTTTGAAAGTTATTGGCTTGGATCATTTGGGCTTGTGAAGATGGATCATAAATTTCTAATTTTGGGCTTGGAGCATCCATTTAGTGGCTAAATGATGATTGGTGGATTCAAATTACATGGACAAGGGGGGGGGACCAAAGGAATATTTGTTAGTGGAAGGGTGGAGTAGTGGAATGGTGGGCCAATAGCATTCCAGCAGCATTTGCGCGGGTGGAATTTTGGCTGCGCGGGTACCCGCGCAACTGCCCAGTTTGGGTATTTTGGTCATTTGGCTCACAATAACTTTGGGGGGGATCAGATCTAGAGGCTCATTGACGAATTTTCCACCATTGGAGACCTGCAAGTGACGATTTGGAGAGCAAAATACTCAATTTCTTTCATCTTTTCAAGTCTTAGGTAGATTCTTGATGCAAATTAATTATTGTTCTTGTTACTTTGTTGCCATGAGTGGCTAATACTCTTATTTGGTTGACTTTGGCTGAAAACCAATGAATGTTTGTGGGTTTTGAAGGATTTATTTTGATTATCAATTTATTCCATGTTTATGATTCTAGTTTACAATTCTTATGCTTATTTGATGCTTTGATCATGAGCTTAGTATTTGATTGAGCAATGGTTGATTTGTTTCATTGATTTTGCATTGGATCATTGAATTTATCTAGAACAAAGGCTTTATGATGGTAGAAATCATCTCTAGCTTATGAATCATAGCTCCTTTATGGATATGTAAGCATTTGACATCCTCTAGGAATTGGGGATTCCTTCATTCTTAAGTCTAATTGAATTCTTGGGATTAATTGCTTCAATTGACCCTTGATCTTAATTAAGAAGGTGTGTTGTGGGCTTCCCCAACCTCCATACTACCTATGAGGAATCTTGGCATATCATGCTTCATGATTGCTATAACCAATTTGGGATGAAGGATAAGCTTTGTATTAGATCCTAATGATAAACACACAAATGTTCATTGTGTTGAATTGCCTTAGTTAACCAATTATTCCCAACCTTTGAGCATCTCATCAACTTGCTTAATTGCAAGGTTTTTAGTTATTCAAGTATTTTAGTTTTCAAGTAATCAAACACCCCCCCCCCCTTTTTTTTTGTTTAATTGTAGTTAGTTAGTTTAATTTCACTAGTTCTATTGAATTGCATTGGTGATTGAATACAACCATTTCCCCGAGGATCGATACCCCTTTTTACCATTATATTACGTTTATTTAGAAATCAAAGGGTGTAATTTGCTTGGTGGACTTGACATTTCCCATCAAGTTTTACATGAAAAATCCTTTCATTTATACCATAAAGTATCATCGATCTTTTTCATATCATAAAGCATTTTCAATCATGTTCATACCATAAAGCATTTTCAATCATTTTCATACATGACATAACATTTCCTATCCTAAGTGTAAGTTCTTATTTTATCATTTCATTAGCTTCTTTTCCATTTCCATTTCCAAGACCAAGGTGGAAAGAACAAATCAATCCACCAATGCGGCATTTCCAAGACCGAGGTGGGAATAACAAAATCAACCCACCAAGGCATCATTTCTAAGACCACCGTGGAAAGAACAAAATCAATCCACCAAGGTATCATTCTTAGGACATCTACTTCGCGACAGGGAAGGTACCACCCCAGTAGATTCCTCTAGACCTCTTATGAGGCATCATGGCCCGGACAGTTTTCTTTTCACTACTTTCCATTTCTTTTCATTACTTTCCATTTCTTTTCATTACTTTCCAAGATTTACATATTCCATATGTTAGTATCAAAGTACTCATTTCAAAACTAAAGCATTTATATTTTAGAACATTTCAAACACCTTTTCAAAACATTCGATATTCCAAAATGTTATTTACTTTGAAAAACATCCTCGCCTTCAAGGCACTCTTTCAAATTATCTTTCGCAAAAATATTTGACACTTTCATTTCAAAACATCTCATATATCAAACATTAGTGTTTAATTATCATAAAATCATTTTTCCATGTACCCCAAAGTAGGAAAATGTCAACACATACTCACCTTAATCACATGTATGTTAGCTAGTGCTCTTCTAGTTCCTTTCCCTAGAGAAATCCTCTTCAAACACTACATACACCATATATGGACATAAGTCATTAAAATGACCAAAATACCCCTCAATGGTTCCGTTACTAAATTTTATTGTTTCAAGCCATTCCTTATGAAAAACTATGAACATAGGCGAAAACCGTGCGTAAATCCGAGTCTGTATGCAAAAGTTATGAAGAAAACAAGAAAACCTCTAACAGAGACATCCAGGGGCTGTGGAAATTAAGGCATGAATATCCACGAGCCGTGTTTTCATGTCTACACACACAAAACTCAATTTTTCTCAAAATAACACCCTACTTTTCATAGTTCTTGAAGATCCTTTTCCAAATCACTTTGTACCATATATTTAGGATTCTCACACATGATTAGGATGTGTTTTATTATTAAAAAAACACCCCAGTTAATTCATTAAGTGCTCATTGAAACCATTTAAGAACATATTGGTTCTCAAATTCCATAAGAAGGGTTATGTATCCAGTTGTTCAATTGAGCATTCAAAACTCACAAGGTTTGTTCATAACTTATTGAACACTCATATGAAAGTTGTCAAGCATATAAGATCATCATTAATATCATTGTAAATACATAAACTAACCATGGAATCTTTAATTCCATTCCATGTTTCCCAAATTTCCTTTTAAGTCAAAATAATCACGAGAGCTAGAACTTCACTAGAATCCATTCATGTTTGTGTACCAATATCATCTCTAGAGTGTCAATTTATGTTCATGAATGTCATTCACTTCTTAGATGCCAATCATTATGTGGTTATCAATAGATTTACAAAAATTCCATTATGGCCAATAATTCCATATATTAATCAAGGAATCAAGTAACACCTTATGTTTTGAATCCAATTCATTCTCAGAGTGTCTATTCATGATTATAAACTTCCTTTACTCGTCAAATGCTCAACTACAAAGGGTTCTATTGATTTTATCATATTTTCCCCAAATCCATTTCAATCCAAGCTTATACATGTTCTACCATCATGGATGAGTTTTAGCATTCCCTTGGTTTTATTGTTTCCAAACTTCATCTAGGTCCTTAAATCCAATCCA